GCATGGTCCCTTGTGCTACCGGCTGTCCACTCTCCCGTATCGCCCACCTGCAGGTCGGGAGCAGCACCCACATGTTCTCTCGTGAACACAGTTGTGGCAGCTACAGGGTTCCCCGCATGACTGTAATTAGCAGTAGTAGTAGGTAGGAATTGAGAGGTGAAATTGAGAGAAGAATGTAGCTTTTGAAAAAAAAAACAAGAAAAACAGGGGTCCCCCCCCCGAAAAGGTCTTTTTTTTCTCCCTGGAAAACCCAGCTTCGGGGACAACTATGGGGGGTGGTAAGCATCTCCGCATAGTAGCCCGTCGGGGATGCTCCAGTCCATTGGTGGGGAGCTGCACCTGCTGGAAATCGGGTCCAGTGTCCCCTTTGATTGGAGCTTTTGTCGCCCAAAAAAAAAACAAAACAAAACAAAAACAATGATATACACTGAAGTAGAGTAAAGAAAAGGATGATGTCACTGCAGCATTGATTGCCCTGAAGTCTCAGGTGACAGTGATTTTGTTTCCCTTTTTGGATCCAGCCAGACCGGTACTGGAAAAGTGTGGCTGTGTACATGCACATGGCCCTAAGAAAAACGAGCGCCGCAGGCGCTAACTTGCTGATGCAGGGAGGCCTCCCTGCAGGCCTATGGGGCGCTGATGCGGTGGAGCAAGGTATCATAAGCCACCAGTTGGGGCCCAAGCCAACCGAAAATTGTAACCATATCCAAGGAGGCCTATGTACTGGTCTGCTTGCAGCCAGTTCAATTCGCACTGGATGGAAAAATCACTTCCACAGTCCCGAATTGTGATGAACGTATGTGGCATACTTAGTACCTGGCTGGGGTAGTCTGGCATATGCAAACTACTACTTTTTTTGGCGGAATTTGCCGCTAGTCAAGGCCAAGTGCATTCGGGACCCAGTATAACCCTAGAACTCATCAGCCTGTCCAGAACTCAAACTCCACCTAAAAAGAGGAGGGCCAAAACTATGATGTGATGCACCACGACATGGCGTGGAAATCCAATGCATGTGTTCGTAATAAGAGTACACTCACACTAGGCCCTCAAAATCACAAAATCACAAAATCACAAAATAAGCGGCCAGATCGAGTCGTTTGTTTACAAGGACTCAATCTGGCCACTCATTTTGCGATTTTGCGATTTTGGGGGCCTAGTGTGAGTATGCCCTAACTTGGTATCGTGTGGTGTCCTGATCATTAGGATTTTCTTTATTTCCGGTTTTCGCTTGTCTTGGCCGTGTTGGCAGACGATGAGGATCCAATGGCCAAGGATCTGCAGTTTGTTGGTTGAGTGCAACCAACACCACGCAACGTGCTGGATGGGGCCTCAGGGTATCTTGCCATCCCCTGCAGCCAGCCACATGACCATTATTCTCATTTAGCAAGTGATGGAATGAGGTCCATTATCTTGGTTGGATCTTCTGTTTTCTCGTTTTCTCTTTCTCAAAGTTTTCTAGTTTTCCGTCTTATCTTCTTACTTTTACATTTTCTTTCCCCTTCGGACTTCCTTTTGCTCTGACAACAGGTTCAGAAAAAGGGATCCAGCAGAAAGATCATCACTACCCTTTCTTTTTTCCAAACGAGGCATGCACTTTATTACTCCGAAAAAAGTACATCGAGGCCGGGGAAACCTCAAAACACCCCGAATAAAACTTACTGGGGCCATTGCCCAGCTTCAGGTTGTGCTGCAACCTGGGTCGAGCATCCCATTTACCCCTACTTAGGCGAAGGAGAACGATGAAATGAAGAAAATCCATTATCCCATTACATCTTTTTTTTTTTGTTGTTGTAATAGAACAATGCTCCAATCTATTTGTGGGGAGCAACACGTGCTGGAACCATGTGACGCCCAACCTCACGCCCGGCGCGACTTCCTGATCGGAGTGGGATGTGGGCCTGGAAGTGCGAAAAGGGGTGTGCCAAGGATTTTTGGGAAAAGTGGGGGAGTCTTAGGGGTATGAATGCAATTAGAAAAGCAAGGGGCGCGTGGGACTCAAGGCCCGATGGGGCCGGGGTACTGTGGGCGACGGTTTGCGGGGAAGTCCCTCAGCAGAGGAGGCAGTCCCGAAAAGTTGGGCCGTCGGGGGCCGCCACGTGGCGCAGGCCGCTGCGTATGTGGGTTGGGCCTTCGGAATTCCGGGGTTCTCCGTTCGCCGCTACGTCGACCATTCCCGCAAGGCGTGCTGGGCCAATAGGGGGCTATGGCCGGCCACGGAACGACGTTCAGTTGATGATACGGGAGGAGGCGAAAAGAAGGGAAACTGGTGGTGATGACGACAAACCCCGGGTGGGTGAAGTAGTAGGTATGGTCGAGGGAAGGGAAATCAGAACACCGGGGGTCGCTAGTGGTGGCGCAGTGGAATTCCCGCGGACACAGTCGATTCTCCGTGTGGCAGGGGTATCGCAGCCTTAGGAGTTCGTTTATCCAAGGGGTGAAGTAATCCGGGTCGTAGGATGAGTCTGAGCTCCAAGATCGCGTCATGGTATCATCGTGTATGGGATGGCTCTGGTCGGGTTATTGTCACCTCGCACGAGCACGTGTAGGATGGGCGAACTTAGTTGCGCCTCAGCGTGCTCGTGCGGGATGATGGTTTCGCCGCGAATCTTTTTGGGTGGGCGGATCGACRCACGGGGAKGSRTGTAAACGCGCGATTCGGATCGTGTTTACACGTGTCTTCGCGCGGCGTTCGCAGGGCCCGACATCGGATTGTCTAATGGCTCCGTAGATTTGGTTATGCGAGATGCAACCACACCCAAACCCAAGCAACAACGAGAACAAAATCGCTATCGGGGCCAAGTTCTTATCCTCTCTACAGTTGTATCAGGTGCAGACGATGATTCGTCACAAACAAAAGCAAGGACAAGGAGTTTCAGCAAAAGATAGACAAGCAGTCATAGCATCCATACATCCATACATTCAGTAATCGTACACATAATGCAATCGAGACGAAAATCGCAAAGACAAGTGTGAGCAAAAACCCAAGTCCAGATTCCAGAAAGTCGAGACGAAAAACAAGAACG